ATATGTGGATCCGCCAATGTAAATATTTAAATTTAGTATGTGAAATATAAATAAAATCGATTGAGGAATAATATAACATGTGCAAATTTGAATACAAAAATATGTATATGCCAAAATAATATATGTCCAAGTAAATCTGTATCATACATATCTGAATATAATATAGATTATAGACAAAATTGCAAAAATGGTTCATGTGGTTTTGGACCAAAAATATTTGGTGGTACATCAATGGTCCAATTTTATATGTCTTGTGTGATTTTGTTCCCTATCAGCTTAAAAAGACTATTATACCCCTTATATTCACTACTAGAAAACAATCTTTTAATGACATGCGAACAATGACATGCGTTGATTTACGATACACATTTTTTGCATGTCCTAAAAATAATGTGAGATTTCCAAAATCTGAAGGATAGAGGACACACATTTGTGCGTGCCCTAAAATTAGTGTCCAACAAAAAAAATTACAAACACGGAGGGCACTTATCTTAAACGTGTGTCCTCTACAAATGTTGCTTTATATTTTTACTCAAACGCACATCACTTATCAGAAAATCGCATGAGACGAAATATATGAAACTGAATACCAATAGGAGAAACTACAAACCCTATAAAACCCCTAATCCCCGTGTTTCCCTTGCCGGCAATAGGGCTTTTTTTTGAAGAATATTCAAAATACTCACTCACTCAGTATGTGCTCTCTAGAATCGATCCGTTCGAGGACCTCGCCTCGCCTCACCTCACCTTGCCGGCAACCCCTACTTCACTTCTCCTCCGGCGACCTTAGGGTTACTTCTAGGGATGAGCGTGGGACGGAACCAGTACCAACCCATATCGTTCCCGATTTCCTGAAAACTGAATTTGGTCGAAAGTCAATCACGAGTACCGAACCGAATTAACATCACCGATACCGGTACCGGGAATGGTACCAATTTTCGGTACTAGTACCGGTACCGGCGGTACCGATTCATGAATTTCATGTATTTGGAGTACCAAGTATCATCACATATTTTCAAATTCGGTACGGTTCGGTACCGGTTCCGGTACAGGATCGGGATTTGGGACAAATTTCTCATCCCTAGTTACTTCTCCTCCGGTGACCTCAGGCTTTCTTCTCCTCGCTGACGACCTGGGGCTCACCTGACCTTGTTAGAACGGAGCAGGCCAAACAAGGTTCAACAATGGTAAAAATGAGTGATACAGTTGCACAACCTCCAGTTGAAGTAACCCTAACACTCAAACAATGAACTCCAACGATTCTACTCCAAAGCTTTCTTCTAATTACGAAAAATGTAGAGAGCAAAGAATCAAAGAGAATCTTGAAAGCATGCAAAAGCTCAGGATTTACAATCTATAATGCTTGGTTTAGGTATTGGTCAGTTTTCAACATTTTTAGAATTTTGGGCTAGGACTCGACGAGTTGGGGAGCTCCAACTCGTCGAGTAGAAATCATATTGGACGCGGGATGAATGACCTACTCGACGAGTTGGAAGGCACCAACTCGACGAGTAGGAGCTGAAAAGGGAAACCCTAATTTTCAGGGTTTGTACCCTATTTAAAGGCCTTAAGCCTCACTTGTAGCCTCCCTTATCACCTCCTTTGTCCAGAGAAACCCTAAATAGTGTCTCATCTCCCATTTGGTGTGTATGAGAGCTTGGAAAGTGATTCTTGGTGCTCTTTTGGAAGGAATTTGAAGCTTGAAGAGGTCGGATTAAGTGGAGGGCAGTAGATCCGGGATTTCCTCCAGTGTGGCAACCATTTTAAGGTATAAAGTCGAAACCTTGACCTTCCATTACTTAGATCTCCTTCTACGAAAGTTTATGGCCATTATTAGACTAGTTTGGTACCATTCTTGGTTTTGAGCATGATATGAAGATATGGCTTTAGATCTGGACATCTCAGGGCCTTTAGGGACTTAAAGTTGCCAACTTTATCAAGTCTTGGCCCTCCTTCATGCTCTAAGTCCCTTGACAAGCCTTGATTAAGTGTTTTTAGCCTTTAATGTCTTGCATGGATGTAAAGTTAGCAACTTTATGTGGTATCTCAACCCTAGGGGGTTGGATCTGAAGTTTGGGACCTTGGATCCCACTGGAAAGGACTGAACACAAAAAGGATTGAAGGAACTCGTCGAGTCCCTTAGTCGACTCAACGAGTCGGGTAGGGTTTACCCATTTTCGAGATTATGGATGAGTGCAATGAAGGATTAGAGTTTTGGTCTGCATGAGTTTGCGGTCTTCTGGACATTAAGGAAATCGATGAGTTACATAGGTAACTAGGCGAGTTGACGAGTTACTCAGGTGACTCGACGAGTTGCTAGATGCACTCGACGAGTTGGGTCAACATGAACTGTTGACCTTGACCGTTGACTTTGACTTGACCACGAGTTGACTAGGGTTGACCATTCATTATTTTAGGTCTTTTTGGTATTGGGCCTTCACAGATTAGGTCCATTGATGGATTTATGGACATTATAGTGTTGGGCTTTTGTTTGGGCTTGGGCCTCAGTCTTGGATCATACCGGGCCAAGGGTAGAATGGTCATCTTACCCCATGTATGGATTGGGGATTATAGTATGGAACCCAATTTGCTAATTGAGTGTACTGATTGGTATTGATAGCTCGAGAAGTCGGCAGGGCAGCAGCTAAGGATGTCATTCGGGAAGCTTCTGCATTCGAGGTGAGTCTTCTCACCATACCAATGGGTCTAAGGCACCAAGGTCGGCCCATTTATCTAGTTGTGATGATTATTGCGGATGTGCTATTGATACAATATGTATTTATGTGAATACCATGCGGGGGTTCCCATGGCAAGTAGTTATATATGTGGTATGCTAGTTGATTGTGTATTATTTGGTATGCTAGTTGTCTTTATGATACTTGCATGGAAGACCCCGGGAGGGTTCCCGAGGCAGTTGGATATAAGACCATGTGGGGGTTCCTATGGCATTCCAGGCTAAGACCATGTGGGGGTTCCCATGGCAGTGGGCTAAGACCATGAGGGGTTCCTATGGCACCCGGTGTAAGACCTTGGAGGGTTTCCAGGGCATCCTTATATGTTTGCATGTTTAGCTCATATGTTTGTATGTATGGTTTGATTGGTAGTTAGTGAAGACCATGTGGGGGTTCCCATGGCAGTGGGCTAAGACCATGAGGGGGTTCCTATGGCACCCGGAGTAAGACCTTGGAGGGTTTCCACGACTTCCTTATATGATTATATGCAGGGCTTATGTGATTGATATGGTTTATGTAGCTGATATAGCTAATACGGATTATGTGGATTGTGTGGGGTATGCTCTGGGGAACTCACTAAGCTTCGTGCTTACAGTTTTGTTTATGGTTTCAGGTATCATTGTTTTGGAAAGGAAGGGCTCAGCTTGAACGCAATGCACACACCCATGTTTTCCGCATTGAATAATTTTGGGATGAACTCTGATAAATGTTTAAATTAACAATGTTTTGGATGTTTGGAATAAACGATATATATGTTTTGACTATATTAAAAATGAAATTTTTACCATTGATTTTTGGGTCGTTACACGATCTATCTCTTAAGACGAAATATATGAAACTGAATACCAATAGGAGAAACTACAAACCCTATAAAACCCCTAATCCCCGTGTTTCCCTTTTTCCCTCTTCTGTCCCCTCCCAATCCTCTAGGTTTACTTTATTTTCTTTAATTTTATTACTTCTATTATTGTCTAATATGCAACTTGAAGTGAAATTTTTGTAGCTGATTTGTTTGAAGAGTTTATGAGTTTGGTTAAAATGAGATTTATTATGCTTAATTAGGAATCCTTTACTTTTCAGTCTACTGTCTTTATTTCATCATTTTTTCAGTTCTTTTACTTTTTACTATTGTTTAATCTGCATTTTGAAGTGAATTTATGTTTCCAATGTGTTTGTAGGGTCTAATTGATGTGTGTGATTCCATGAATTTTATAGGGGACAAGTGGTTGGTTGGCCTCCGGTTAGAAGCAAGTTCAAGATTTTCATAAGAATATGCACTATGAGTCTCAATACATAACTCATGTATTCTTGATATAGGTTTTCAATACATAACTTAGGAATTGTTTGGAATAGGAATTTGATTCGTTTCCATTCCATTAAGGAGTGCGGTTGCATATAACTACGACAAATGGAGTTCCAACAGTTTCCGACTTTTTATTTGAGGTTAGCTGCACATCATCTGGCTCACCAGTCCAACAAAATCATAGTTGTCAAATAATAAATTATATATTGTGGAACTACATTAATGGTCATTTTTTTGTAACTTTAGTAATCTTTTTTAGGTCGTCATCGAGAGCCATTGGAATGGGTTGCCCAACAAAATATTACGGTCGGGGCTGCCAGGGGACTGAGATATCTTCATGAAGAATGCAGAGTGGGTTGTATTGTGCATTGTGACATGCGGCCAAATAATATTCTTATCACCCATGATTTTGAGCCTCTGGTATATATTTATTTTAAATAAATACTTATTAATGTCGAATTTTGAAGTAAAAGAACTTAATATAATTGTTTTTTAATAAAAGGTAGGTGATTTTGGGTTGGCCAGGTGGCAGTCGGTTGGAGATACCGGAGAAGAAACATGAGTAATTGGGACATTTGGGTTAGTTTTTATAATTCTCTTTCTTGTGGTTTTTCATTTATCCATAATATTTTTTTATGATATGGTTTAATGTATGATTGATTACATTACCTTGGTTTTTTATAGATATTTGGCTTCTGAATATGCACAAAGTGGGCAGATAACGGAAAAAGCAGATGTATACTCGTTCGAGGTTGTATTATTGGAGCTTGTTACGGGGCGCAAAACAGAGGATCTTAACCGCCCAAGTTTTGTAGTATGTTTCTGGTTGTTAATGGTTGTCTAAATTGTTGTTGACAAGTACCATATAATGGCCTCCTATATTTACTTTCATAATTTATTATGAACACATAAATTAATATACCTAGATACTTATTACTAATTACTAATCTTGTAGGTCCGGAAAAATGATTATCCATCCATGGAAGCAACTCAAAATCTTTCCATCTGCTATGGGTACTGTTTGAAGTATTTTTTACTGTTTTGACCATTTTACCCCTGCTTGGTTTAGCTTAGTTGTTGTCTCTGTAGGTCTCAAGTTTTTTCCCTTACTTTTGGAGTTGTGTGGAGTTTATTGTCAGTCATGAGTAAGAAGACTACGGATACATAAAAATCATCCTAAAAATAAAGTTATATTCACGTAAAACAACCATTTCCTTATAAAATGAACTCAAATAATATAACTATCTATAATTTCTCGTATAACTAACTGTATTGTACATGAAAACCATCAGAAAAAACAATGTGTGGGGTTTTGGGTAATACAAACATTTGTTATAATTGATAGAACACTGAAGCCTGCAAAATTAATCATAATTTCTTGAATATATATGTAATAAATATAGGAATTATAATATATATATATATATATATATATATATATATATATATATATATATATATAGAGAGAGAGAGAGTTTCAAGGATATATAAACCTTTTTGCATAGTTTTTGGTTAATTACATTTTTTTTTACAAAATGTGTTAGAAATTACAAAAAACAAAATTAAAAGCAGTTTTTTGTTGGAGTTTTTCTCCGGTTTCCATTTTGTTGTATCTGACAAAATAAAAACCATATGACAAAAAAAATATTAAAAAAAAAAGTCTATAGTTGATAAAGTTTAGTGGTTTTACTAAAAAAAATGAGAAATTAAATATCCTCTTACTTTTTTCCTAATTATATTCCTACCCATTTAAAATGACGACAAGTGTCTTAAAATATCATTGGTTTTATGTAAATATGACACTTGTCACAATTTCATGTGGATAGGAAGATAAGTAGAAAGAAAAGGTAGAAGGATATTTAATTTCTCAAAAAAAAATATATGACAATTACATGGTAACATGCAATATGAGTTCACGGTGGTCGTGGTTGCATTAAACCTTATTTGCAAAGAGTGGTTGCATTAAACCTTATTTGCAAAGATCCGTGGTTTTTTTTTTTCTTTTCTTTTTTTTTTTTTTGCAAAAAAGTAAAAGATGGTCCTTAAACTGTTTTATGGTCAAAATATATTTTTTCAAGATATTTTTCCTACAAAATAATAACATGCAAATTAAAAAAGAACAAATACTTTTTATTATGAATACTCAAACTTCTCGTCCACATATCTTTCTACACACATAAAAAAAATTGCAAAGATTTTATTTATTAAATAACAAACATCACCTTATATGATGTTGTTGTTTATATTATCAATTGTTTATAAAATACAAGAATTATGTATATATATTAAAAGTTTGTTCGTCTATGAACAATAATGTGATTCTATTGGTTGAATTTTTTTGAATTTTTTTAGGGTGAATTTGGTCTTTTGACCGGTTAGTGTTGCCTACGTGTTATCAGTGTTAGCTACTGTGTTATGTTTATGCACCCACCCATCCACCACCTCAAAAGTCTCCACCGCCTCTTTAATTCACATATTCAATCTGTTTCTCTCAATTGAGGAGACGACGAAGAAAAGTAAGAAGAAAAAGATGAAGACAGCTGAGGTCGATGAAGAAGCGGAACCGATTAAGGAAGACAATCCAAATGCGGTTTCGAACTTTAGGATTTCTGAGCCGTTGAGGAATGCCTTAAAGGCTAAGGGGATCGAGGCTTAGTTTCCTATCCAGGCTCGGACCTTTGATTCGACCTATGATGGTCTTCATTTGATTGTGAAAGCTAAGACCGGTCCGGTACTTGGAATCACTTTCAGAAATTTGCTTTACGTAACTCACATATTATTGGGGTTTATAAACAACGTACTGTAGGAAAATATAGGGTTTGTGGTGGAGATCTGGATACCAACTTGGATCGTAAGAACATTTTCCGAACTGATATTTCTACCCTATGTCTGAGTTGCAAGAAATTCAGCATAGGATAATCCAAGTGGACACTTACGATTCTAGGCACAAAAGTTGTAAGCCAATTTGCTAGAAAGATTCTGTGAGAGTATGAAGAAAACGAGAGTTAATTTCCGGATGGATCACTTCACAACAGGAAGAGTCGTTTATATAATAAACGAAATTAGGGTTTCATTAGGGTTGGGTCGTCATTAGTTGCTTTGGAAGCAAGTCAGGGTAATCCGGATTAATGAGGATTTAGGGTTACCAAAAACTAACGAGTTTCTTTAGTTTTACCATAATCACCCTCAAGAATCTAAATTCTCCACTATGTTCCCATATGTAAAATTCGGTGAGGTTTTGGGGCGTTGCCCCTCGACCCTGCCCGCTGACCTGGCAGCGGGACCCCAGCCAGGGGCTCTGCCCCTTAGACTTCGCTAGGGGCGCTGCCCCTAGACCCCGCCAAAGGGGCGCTGCCCCTTTGGAAACCCCAGACCTAGGGGTGTTGCCCCGGACCCCCGACTTGTCGTCGAACCGGCTTCTAATTCGATCTTATACATGCATGCACTCCGCACCAACCCATACATATATTAGAGTACAAATTATGAAGCCCTTAGCTCACATGTTAGTTCCAGTTACATAAAATGACATGGTGACACTAAAATCACCAACACGTACTAATTGGAATGGTTTCGGTATGGTTTGAACTGTTGCATCTTCACCTTGAATCATGTAAACAATTACCTAATGCTTACTACTAATTCTATAGGGAAAAACATTGGCTTTCATTTTGCCAATATTAGAGTCCCTTATCAATGGACCTGAGAAAGTTTCAAGGAAGACCGGCTATGGCAGGTCACCTACGATCCTTGTGCTTCTGCCAACCAGAGAATTAGCAAAGCAAGTGTCTATGCTATGGTTGTTTCCCTTACTTTCCAGAAACGGTATTATCTTGAAATCTTATATTGTCATTTACAAATTGCATGCCACCTGTTTGTTTTTATGCTTCAAAGAGAAAGGTATTTGGTTTACAGTTTTTTTCCCAGTATGACTTTTCATTTCTGTTTTCACTATTGTTTTGTTTCTATTTACTTGAAATTGACCAATTTTTTTATGGTAATTAAGAGTGTTTACTTCAAATTGACCAATTTCACTTTATAGTGTGATGTTCATGTAATTGGGTGTTCATAGAATCAAAAGGACATATGTAATTCTATCAAACAAAGTTCATACAAATTATATTGCCTATAATTCTGATCAATTTGTTTCCATTTATTGTCTTTTTTTTATCACTACCACATCAAATATTGTAGTTATTACGTCTCAACGTTTGGTCATAAAAGTTCAGAAGGTTTCTAAATTTAAATTAAAAATTGAAGTTGAAAACAAGGATTGATTATTAGGGTTTTATAATACAGGTGTACAATGAAGTTTCGTTGTGTTAGTAGGATGAGTTACGCTAGAAGAAAGACTAACAAATGGATGATTACTATGTACAGGTAAAACTTGTCACATTTTACTCAGCTTCATGTTCATATATATATATATATATATATATATATATATATATATATATATATATATATATATATATATATATATGTAGGAGTAGGATCAAATGAGAACACCTAAAAGGCTGAGAACGCGAGAACAGATCTAGAGCATCTAAATATTCAAATCTACGGCTATTATCAAATGGACCATTTATGTAAATTTTGAAATTATTGGTATTAAAGTGTAACTTTAAAAAGGTGATAAGGGTATGATGGTAATTACAACTTTAACATGTTCGTATAATTTCTCAGTTAATCTCTCTCTGTATGCCTAAACCTACGACTAATCACTTATTCCACCATTTTCGACTTTCGTCACCGCCATCCACGAAGCAACTTTCACAGTCAATGAATGAAAAAGCATCCCCTCTGCCTTCGCGACCATCATCGCCGATGATAGCCTACCCTCCAATAACATTCTCCACTCCTCCATATCTTCTAATTAGTTATGCAGCCAAACCACAATGACATAAATTGGAAGCAATTACCATCATTCATTGTTAAAAAGAGGAAGAAAAGTGATTAATAGTAACACCTTGTCTTCTTATCCTCTCAAATCCAATCAATGGCTATCATATGGGAAGCCGTTGTTCCGATTCCTAACCCTAACCAATTACTTCGTTCCTTCTATTCGGCTACCAGAGGCATGTTGATGGTGATGTGATTGTGTTACGACGTTATTAGGGCGACGCAAGGATCCAAGGGCAAATCTGGTGGTCGATTTTTTTGTTGTGTTCCTTCTGGATCTTTATGCCCTAAACCTCAACACAGAAACAACACAGATACATAGCACGTTTGTATCTGGGGAATTTTGATTACTGTATGGTACATTTCTGGAACCTTTAAAATTGAATTCATTATTAGCAAAGAAGTTTTAATTAAGTAGTCTGATTATTGTTTCTTTGGTGATTGATTTGTATTACATACAAATAATGTTTCTTATAATCATTTATGATTACTAAGTTATTGTTTTTGCGGTATAATTCCCTTTATGATGCAAGTTTACTGTTGAATGGTTGCTATTTTTGTTTATATGAGCCTTTTGTATTAATTATTGTTATTTTTCTTTTCTACAATGACTAATAACATAGTTTAAATGAGTATTTTTTTATTAATTGTTGCTTTTTGTATTTGCAAGTGAGCCTTCATATTTAATTATGATTACTTATCATAAGAACTGATACATATTTCAAAGACCATAACTGTGTTTACATGATCATAAGAACTGATAGATGACCAAAATTGTGTTTACAACAGACAAATAAAAATTTTATTAAGTTATGATTATAGGATCGTTAATTTTAGTTTATAGTAGTATTTTGTAACTTTCCGTTGCTTTTTGTAAATTTTACTCGATACATGTATATTCATTTATGAATATAACTACAAGCGTAAGCATTTATATGTAATATTTATTTTATTCATGTGCATTTTTATAAGATTAGAGGCTTACTTTTCATTTATGATTAGAGGTCTATTCTATTCATGTTAATGTAATTTATTTTTTCCATTTTTGTTGATTTAGTTAATGGTATTGATATTTATTTTGAATTTAAAAATGTACACAGAAAATCAATATCAGGATTTTGAACGCAATGTTGGAGTTCATCAGAATTTTGAATGCAATGTTACAGTACGAATATGAAAGAAAACACTGCTTAGAGGAAATGATCACCACTTCTTCATTTATGATTACAATAATAGTAAATTATTGTATTCTATTTTTTTTTGTATTTATTTATGATTATAGGAAAATAGCAAAGTAATATATTGTATTTTTTTTTCTTTTTATGTTATTCCTTTATGAATAAAGATGTATTCTAATTATTAATGTAATTCTCTTTTTATTTATATATGATTAGAATTTTACTGGTTTTTTATTTGTAAGTTATGTTTAATTCATTTAAAATTAGCAATGTGTTCATATTTGATTATAATAATGGTTGAAATAAATATATACAAAAAGTTATTAGATTATTAATTTTCAAATTGTTGGTATATTCATGTATCATAAAAAAATAAAAAACAATATTGCTAGATATTGGTTTTCTTAATTTCTAATAAATTAATAAAATAAATCGATGCATTCCTAGTTTTTTTGTAACAAAAAATCAATTAACATGATATTTTTGGTAACCGAATTCATAATCCAAAAATTTAGGAATCAATTAATTAGCCTTGACTTTTTCATATTTAATTATAATATAAAAATTCATTTATACCCTTATATATTGATTGGTTCAGAACCGTTCTCGCGTTCTCAACTTTTTAGGTGTTCTCATTTGATCTCACCCTATATATATATATATATATATAATATATATATATATATATATATATATATATATATATATATATTATATATATATATATATAGAGAGAGAGAGAGAGAGAGAGAGAGTAGAAGCCACTCTAATTGGTTATATTTTTGTTTTTATTTATTTTTCTTAAATTGTTAGCAGGTCCAATTTGTTATTTGGTATTCATGGTTGATGAATTTGGTCAATGTTTATAGAAACCTAAATTGGTTGATGATGTTGGTACTTATCGCCAAGTTAACACTTGTTGATTTGCACCTCACAAATTATTAGGGTGAATCTCGAAGTGTTGTATTACACGAGTCCAATATACTGCCAGGATATTATTGACTTGATATATTTTTGTACATTTTTTTAAAATTTCTTTAATTATGGTAGTATTAATTTTTGTAAAATGGTTTGCTTTCTTTTGACAGACATTGTCACCAAGAGAAACTTTCATCCCCGTTTCCACTAGAATGGATATATAATGACCATAACACCCATGAACAATGCATCTTTTAATTCAAAGGACGTGGATTTAACCACAAATGATGAGGGCGTTTTGGTAATTCCTCATGTAAAGATATTGCAAGTGCTAACACAGAAGCTAAACTCCCTGAAACACATACTCGAGAGTCTGAGAAGAATGAAGAGTCCAAGAGCAATGATGATTTGGATGAATCCACATGCAGCAACAATAGTGGTATTTCTGTCTTCTTTATTTAATTTTATTTATCAAGTTGTATTTACTGCTTGTATAGTGGAGAATAGTTACATTTTTTCTTGGATTATAAGACGTTATGTTGCTTACCAAAATGTCCCAACAATCCTTTTTAAATACTTAATCAATAATATGTTTTATAATCGAACACTTTCTAATTCCCGCAACACAGGGATCCTTCCCTAGTTGGAATATGTAAATTAG